CGTAATGCCTTTGCGAATAACCACTCAGTTATTGCCATATTTTTTGACCTTGAGAAGGCATATGACACAACTTGGAGGTATAATATTTTAGCCCAAGCCCACTCCTTAGGCCTTCGAGGCAATCTACCATCCTTCCTTAAGAACTTTTTAACTGACAGGCATTTCTGTGTTCGGGTTAATAATGTGCTCTCCCCGGACTTTATCCAAGCTGAAGGTGTCCCCCAGGGATGTGTTCTGAGCACAACACTTTTTCTCCTTGCTATTAATGATTTGGCCTCTAGTCTTCCATCAAATATTTGGTCATCACTCTATGTTGATGACTTCGCTATTGCCGGTGCAGGCACTGACTGTCACCTCATTACAGTTTCTCTCCAGCATGCAGTCAACCGTTTTTCCAATTGGGCCACCACACATGGGTTTAAATTTTCCAGCACTAAAACCCACCAAATTACTTTCACTAGACGCTCTGTCATCTCCGATCATCCTTTGTACCTCTATGGCTCCCGTATCCCTGAACGTGATACAGTCAAGTTTCTGGGCCTCCTCTTTGACCGTAGGTTATCCTGGAAACCTCACATTACCTCTCTGAAGGCAACTTGTCACAGCCGGCTGAACCTTCTTAAAACCCTTGCTCATCTTTCATGGGGAGCTGATCTTCGAACCCTCCTTCGCCTACATTCCACCCTCATTTTATCGAAACTTGATTATGGTGACCAGATCTATTCAGCGGCATCTCCTGGTACTCTCTCTAGCCTTAACCCCATTCATCACCAAGGATTACGTTTATGCCTTGGTGGTTTTCGCTCTTCCCCTGTCGAGAGCCTCTATGCAGAAGCGAACGTTCCATCCTTATCCGATCGCCGTGATGCCCATTGCCTTCACTACTATGTACGCTCTCATGATCTCCACAATCCTTCCATTTATAGAATGGTCACTGATATTAGTAGACATTCTTTATTTGTTCGCCGCCCCTGTTTACTCCGTCCCTTCTCTCTTCGCCTTCATTCGCCCTTGTCTTCTCTTCAATTACCACCTTTCTATGTTCATGTAGCATCTCACTTTTCCCTACCCCCCTGGGAAGTTCCAGCTGTTCGAGTCTGTTCTTTCTCTCTCCCTTGCTCGAAAGCCCAACTGTCTACAGTTGCTTCCCGCTCTCTTTTTCTTGACCACTTTCACTCTCATTCTCATGCCATTGCTGTGTACACAGATGGCTCTAAGTCTTCTGGCGGCGTAGGATTCGCAGCATTGTTTCCGGACAGCGTCATACGAGGGCATTTACTATCTTCGGCTAGCATTTTTACTGCTGAATTGTATGCCATCCTTGCAGCACTTATCCGTATTGCATCTATGCCTGTGTCATCATTTGTGGTTGTCTCAGACTCCCTTAGTGCTTTACAGGCTATACAGAAATTTGATACACCTCACCCCTTAGTCCTCCATATCCAACTTTGGCTACGCCGCATCTTTACCAAGCATAAAGATATTGTTTTTTGTTGGGTCCCTGATCATGTTGATGTACAGGGCAATGAACAGGCAGACACTGCTGCGCGGTCAGCAGTCCATGACCTACCAGTTTCATATAGAGGTATTCCATTTACGGACTATTTTGCTGCAATATCTTCCCACCTTCACACCCGTTGGCAACAACGTTGGTCTACTATGCTCGGCAACAAACTTCAATCTATTAAACCAGTGTCGAGGTTGGGAGACTACTCTCTCCCGTCTTCGCATTGGCCATACTCGTCTTACTCATGGATAACTCATGGAGAGGCGCCCTGCTCCTCTCTGTGAGAATTGCCAAGCTCCATTATCAGTCAGCCACATTCTGTTGGACTGCCCACTTTATCAATGAGCACTCAGAATTTACCTCCGTCGTCGTCTTCGCTCCGCTGCTCTCTCTTTACCTTCCCTTCTCGCTGATGGACCCACCTTTCATCCGGACTTTCTCATTGACTTTTTGACAACAACTGACTTCACAAATTCTGATACCTTCAGCCCTTTCTACTTCAATCTCTTGCTACCCTCTACCCCCGTACTATCCCCTGCCCTGCTGTTTTCTGTAACCTACTGATCATCCCTCCTCCCTTCTGCCATCCAATACCCTCACTTCCTTCCCTACCCTGCAGCACTGTATAACCCTTGTGGCTTAGCGCTTCTTTTTGATTATAATAGTAATACACCAATACATAAAGGTGGTGACCCTACAGATTTAAACAACTATAGGTCAATATCAAACTTACCATTGCTATCCAAAATCTTTGAGAAACTCATGCACAGGAGACTATATTCATTTATAACGGCACGAAATGTACTCAACCCCTGCCAATTTGGATTCAGAAAAAATAAAAGCACCAATGATGCAATTATAAAAATGCTAGATCTGCTTTACACAGCATTGGAAGATAAGGAATATCCACTAGGAATTTTTATTGACCTAAGAAAAGCTTTTGACACAGTAGACCACGGCATCCTACTCCACAAGCTTGACCATTATGGTATATAAGAGGCCATGCGCTTGCATATTTCAAATCATACCTTACTAATAGGTATCAGTATGTCACCATTAAAGACACAGCATCAACAACACGGCCACTTGATACTGGAGTTCTGCAGGGTAGTAGTGTCCTTGGCCCCCTGCTCTTCCTCGTATACATCAATGATTTTCCAAACGTATCCCAACACCTGAACCCCATTCTCTTTGCTGATGACACGACTTATGTCATCTCTCACCCTAATCTTGACACCCTCAACACCATTGTTAATGAGGAGCTGATCAAAATATCGACAAAACCTACTATATAATGTTTGGTAGCAGAGCAGGAGTTGCGCAAATTAACATTAAGATTGACAACACTCTAATTGCCAGACATAATGAGGGCAAATTCCTAGGCCTATACCTCGACAACAACCTAAATTTCAGCACCCATATCCAACACATAACCAAAAAAGTATCCAAGATACGATACTGCGTGCCGCAAAATGCCCTTCTCACACTATACCACTCGCTTATTTATCCATACCTCACCTATACTATTTGTGCTTGGGGATCAACTGCAGCAACACACCTAAAGCCAATAATAACCCAACAAAAAGCTGCAGTAAGAATAATCACTAAATCCCATCCCTGGCAACACCCCCCCCCCCCTCCCACACTTCATAGATCTAAACTTACTCCCTGTTCAGTACACCCACACTTAATACTGTGCAATCTACATCTACAGGACCTTAAATTACATATTAACCTTGACCTAAAATGCTTTCTTGATAGTTGTGACAGAACCCACAGGCATAACACCAGAAAACAAACATCTCTATGACATTCTCCGTGTCCGACTAAACCTTTACAAAAATTCAATGTATGTCAAAAGGCCCTAAAATCTGGAAAACCCTACTGAAAACTCTAGAACTGCAGACGCTTCATCACCTTCAAAACTTACCATTAGAAAACATCTTATCTCCCTGATACACCCCGTCAACTAATTACACGAATACCACCTGGTGGTTCACACTTACACTCACTCTCCCATTTGACCATAAACAGAAATATCAATCTCAATCTTAAAATAATGAATCTTACCTAGTCATAAGTTGGCCTGTGATACTCCAATACTGAAACCATGTATTGTGCCAAAACTAAAGCATTCACATTGCTAAACTCACAAACTAGTATTTAGTCACTTAGCCATAATACCAACTTACCTCATAATTTGTAATATTTTAAAGTTAAGAATTAATCTAAGTCTTCCCGAAATGCCTAGCCATACTAGGTGTTTTAGTGGCCCCCTCTGTAATTAGTATTTTACTACATGTAAACCACACAATAACCAAATAGTGTAAACTCAGCATTGTAATCCTTATAGAGAATGAACTTTGAATTTGAATAGATTTAAGTAGTTATTATGTACTAGGATTAGTCTGCCCGATATGCCCCAGTATGATTGTGACTTTCTTTGTACTTCGCAAACCAAAATTGTAGTTACACATTGTAAGTAAGTAATTATTCAGGTATACACAAATACAGTTACATAGATTATCATACAAGACTGTTCAACTGCCTCCCAGCATACATAAGGGGCATTACCAATAGACCCCTGGCTGTCTTCAAGACCCCTGGCTGTCTTCAAGCAGGCACTGGATAGGCACCTAAAGTCAGTACCTAACCAGCCGGGCTCTGGGTGGTACATTGGACTGCGTGCAGCTAGTAATAACAGCCTAGTTGATCAGGCCCTGGTCCACCATGAGGCCTGGTCACAGAACAGGCCACGAGGACATTGACCCCTGAAACTATCTCCAGGTACACTCCAGGTATACTTAGTAGGATATGCGTAGAGAACCTAGGATAACCTAAAAATGTCAAAGTGACTTATTTCCATTGGGGTCCTTAGCTTGGCCAGTAGGCCTGCTGCAGTGCTCTTCCATTCTTATATTCTTACATTTATTTACAGTAGAACCCGTGTATGCAGAGATTCAGTTTCTACAGATTCGGTTATCCATGGTTTACCGTGGCCTGAACATAACCTTAATTTAGCTTAATAATGTTGGCAAGACACGACAGTAGTGATGGTGGCAGTTGTTCAGAGCCTAAGACAAGCCATCAAGTGCTTCACATTAGTAAAAAAGTGATAATTTTTTACTTATTGTGTGTAATTTATCAATTAATCTTCATCATAGGTATGTGAGTGAGAAACAACTTAGTCGTACCCTGAGTTTCGAACTTTCTTCATTCCAGAAGGCTGTTCAAGTGCCATTTCCGAATGAATTTGTTCCCATAAGGAATAATGTAAATTAGATTAGTCAGTTTCAGACCCAAAAAATACACTTACAAAGGCATGGACAATAATACATTTACATAATTGGTCGAGTTGGGAGTTGTTCAAAACTCGAGGTACCACTATATGTGCATATGGTTGGGTACTATCTGTGGTTTTGGGCATCCAGGGTAGGTCTTGGAAGATATCCCTCAGGGATATAGGGAGACTACTGTAGTCTTATCATTACAGGCCTATCAGAATGTGGGAGCCAAGATACAAGAGGACCTATCAGAAGCACCGGTAATCATAGGGGTGAGGCAGGTGCCCACTGATCAACTTATACCAAACAGAACGTACTGTTTCTTCTCTCACACTATTAAAGCTCAGGAAGCCAACATGCTGCTCCTTGATGCTATTTTAGAGAAGGTAAGATCAGATAATATTTGTTAGCATTTTTTACCTGGGGAGGGTTATCCACCCAGGATAACCTGGCGTGGGGAGGGTTAATCACCCAGGACAACCTAGGGTGGGGAGGATTAGCCACCCAGGATAACCTGGGGTGGGGAGGGTTAGCCACCCAGGATAACCCAGGGTAAGGAGTGTTAACCAGCCAGGATAATCCAGGGTAAGGAGAGTTAGCTACCCAGGATACCCCAGGGTAAGGAGTGTTAGCTACCCAGAATAACCCATGGTAGGGAGTGTTAGCCAGTCAGGATAACCCAGGGTAGGGAATGTTAGGCACCCAGGATTACCCAGGGTAGGGAGAATAGCCACCCAGGATAACCCAGGGTAGGGAATGTTAGGCACCCAGGATTACCCAGGGTAGGGAGGGTTAGCCACCCAGGATAACCCAGGGTAGGGAATGTTAGGCACCCAGGATTACCCAGGGTAGGGATGGTTAGCCACCCAGGATAACCCAGGGTAGGGATGGTTAGCCACCCAGGATAACCCAGGGTAGGGAGAGTTAGCCACCCAGGATAACCCAAGAAAGTCACTGGGTCATCGAGGACTGTCTGTCTTACATATTTCCATTGTGGTCCTTCAATCTTGTCCCCCAGGATGCCACCCACACTGGTTACTTACTGCTAGGTGAACAGTGACAGTAGGTGTCTTAAGGAAACACGTCCTACTGTTTCCACCCGTACTGCGAATCAACCCCCGAACCTCAGTGTGTGAGCTGAGAAATTCACAGTATTTTGTGTTTTCAGAACATCCGGTTGCTGGACCATAAGCGTATGTGTGACAGGCAAGGCCAGTGTGTGGTGGCGTTCGGCAAGTATACTGGAGTTGCTGGCATGATCAACATTCTTAATGGACTTGGTCTTTGTCTCCTAATACTTGGGCATCACACACCCTTCATGGTATGCTACTACTTGGGTATCACACACCCTTCATGGTATGTTCCTAGCACTTGGGCATCACACACCATGGTATGTTACTACTTGGGTATCACACACCCTTTATGGTATATTCCTAGCACTTGGGCATCACACACCCTTCATAGTATGCCATTACAAAAACCCCTCTACGATGGGCAATACTGTACTGGCAGTAGCGTACTGACAATAAGTTGTGTCAGTCTTGTTACAGGTCCGCTATCACAAATCCGGCAATCAGTTATTTGGTTCCTTCAGTTATTCAGCACTAATTTTGGCTAGCATAATTTCAAATTTCCAGGGTCGCCACACCAACCTGCTGGTACTGTTTGGTGGCGCTACTTGCTGCATAAGTCATTCCAATTTCTTTTTCTCCATTTATTGTTTTAACCTGCTTACTTTTAGCCCTAGCCATGGTTCCAATGAATAAAAGAAATGCTTCTCATTATGTAAAGCATCTACACAGTACATTATCCATTAAAGATAAGGTGGCTTTGAAGCCACTGTCGGTTGCCATGAGCTCAGTCTCATGAAGCAGGAGAATATGCTTTATTATTACGCTAATATCAACACTACAGCATATTTGCCTATCACAATTGATCTAATATGACATAAGAAACAATATAAATAACATAAAACATGTTAAATACTCCAGAATGAATAATATTTGGCATAACACCGAGCAGTTTGACAGTGTTATGAAGAGGATATGGTAAAACAAATACCATTCTCCTAGTCTTGGTGGCTTGTATTAGAGAAAACGGAGTATAGCACAGGCCTATGGTATACACTCGTACTCCACCATAAACATGAAACAAAAAAGTTATTTTCTCTCTATAGATTATCACACATAGCAGCATATGTGTAGAGAACCTAGGATAACCCCAAAAAGGTCAACATGGCTTATTTTTAGTACCTGGCTTGGATTAGCCATATATGATTTTTGGTAAATATTCGATTCCCAGCCAGGGTAGAAACATTAGGCGTGTTTCTTTACACCTGTTGTCTATGTTTACCCATCAGTAAATGGGTACCTGGGTGTTAGTGGACTAGTGTGGGTGTTATCCTGGGACACTGACCTAATTTTCTTGAAATAGCATAACAAGTGCCTTTCTATACAGTAGTATGTCACTCGTATTGTAGATAGTGACCCTCGTATTGTAGATAGTGACCCTCGTATTGTAGATAGTCTTAATGACCCTCGTGTAGTAGATAGTCTTTTTAGTATGATAATAAGATGTTATCATCATTATAGATTAATAAGAAAATATTATAACCTTTATATTATAATAATAAGGTAAAAGGACCCCAATGGAAATAAGTCACTCTGTCTGACTTTTTTGGGTTATCCTAGGTTCTCTACACATATGCTGCTTTGTATGATAATTCTATGTAACTGTATTTGTGTATACCTGAATAAACTTACTTACTGATGTCAGCTAGGCCTGTTTACCTTGTACATGTATGTGTAGTAAATAAAGATATTTTTATTATTATTATTTTTTTTTTTTTTTCAACAAGTCGACCGTCTCCCACCGAGGCAGGGTGACCCAAAAAAGAAAGAAAATCCCCAAAAAGAAAATGCTTTCATCATCATTCAACACTTTCACCACACTCACACATAATCACTGTTTTTCCAGAGGTGCTCAGAATACAACAGTTTAGAAGCATATACGTATAAAGATACACAACATATCCCTCCAAACTGCCAATATCCCAAACCCCTCCTTTAAAGTGCAGGCATTGTACTTCCCATTTCCAGGACTCAAGTCCAACTATATGAATTATAATTATTATTATTATTATTATTATTATTTTTTTTTTTTTTTTTCTCAACAAACCGGCCATATCCCACCAAGGCAGGGTGGCCCAAAAAGAAAAACAAAAGTTTCTCTTTTTAAATTTAGTAATTTATACAGGAGAAGGGGTTACTAGCCCCTTGCTCCTGGCATTTTAGTCGCCTCTTACAACACGCATAGCTTACGGAGGAAGAATTCTGTCCCACTTCCCCATGGAGATAAGAGGAAATAAACAAGAACAAGAACTAGTAAGAAAATAGAAGAAAACCAGAGGGGTGTGTGAAAATATACATGCTTGTTTCATGTATGTGTAGCGTGACCTAGTGTAAGTAGAAGTAGCAAGACGTACCTGAAACCTTGCATGTTTATGAGACAAAAAATGGACACCAGCAAACCTACCATCATGTAAAACAATTACGGCTTTCGTTTTACATTCACTTGGGAGGACAGTAGTACCTCCCTGGGCGGTTGCTGTCTACCAACCTACTACCTAGGATTATTATTATTAAATTTTTATTATTATTATTATTATTATATTATTTCCTCAGTTGTTTGTTGGGTTTTCTTATTCAAACTTGGGCAAGTATGATGGGAAGATACTTCTTCGTACACCAAAAATGAAAGAAATCAGACCATTAAATAGCGGTAGTTCACTTCTCAGCCATTAGCAGCCGCTTAGCGGTATATTTTTGTATGGTTGTTATGGTTATATTCTCATTTTTTCAGTCTCATTTGATAGAATGAAATATATATTACAGAAATAGATATGATTTTGATTGCTTTCATGACGAAAAGTACCTTGAAATTGCGCTCACAGTAGCAAAAATGTTCTATTCTTTAGCGAAGCTCAAGAGTAAACAAATGACGTCACCGTCCAATACCTGTCCGCCTGCCAGTCCAAATTCCAATACGCAGTCAAGAATGGGTTTACATTATTTATACAATTATTACAATAATGCAGTAGTCTGCATAACAGTAAATCTTCTATTATTTTGTGAATAAAAATTCCAAATGGTAAATAACAAAAAAAGGCACAATACCGTAACTGGAACGATACAAATGGTAAGCAAGAGTAATATAAGAGGGGCCTGTAGCCATGACTAATGAACAGAGAAAATGTTATTTTAGTGCCAGGAATGTCTGCATTGTTTATTCTGGATCCTATTTTGAAATTGGCATCTGTTGAAATTTGTGTGAAATCGGCCAAATTGCCAATTTCTGACCACTTTATTGGGTAGTTGAAATAAGTGAATGGGCAGTTTCTTGTGCTCAGTTGACAGACTAGAAGTAAATAAGTTTATTCAGGTATACACAAATACAGTTACATAGATTATCATACATAGCAGTGTATGTATAGAGAACCTGGGATAACCCAGAAAAGTCAGACAAAGTGACTTATTTCCAGTACCCAGCTTGGGCTTGCCATATATGATTTTTGGTAAATATTTTTTTTTCTCAGTTGTTTGTTGGGCTATCTCATTGAAACTTGGGCAATGTATGATGGAAAGATGCTTCTTAACGTACAACAAAAACAAAAATGACGGACGATAAATAAGGGAGTTCACTTCTCAGCCATTAGCCGCCTCTTTGCAGTATATTTTCGTAAAGGTTTTTATGGTTGTATTCTCATTTTTTGGACTCATTTGATATAATGGAAGATATATTACAGAAATAGACATGATTTTGATTGCTTTCATGACGAAAAGTACCTTGAAATTGAGCTCAAAGTAGCGGAAAATGTTCGATTTTTGCCGATGTTCAATGAACTGTGTAAGTCAAGTTGGTTAATTTTATTAAGTGTATTCTAACTTAACCACTCTGTAATTCGGCAAACTCAGTAATCCGGCACACTACAGGTCCCAATGATGCCGGATTTGTGATGGAGGACCTGTATCAGTAACTTCTATAATAATACAAATAATTAGTATAATCAGTAAATATTGAATCAGTTGATTCCTACAGCACATTGGACCTGCCCATAATTACCGCAACACAGAGATGGCAAGACAGTCAATTCGTGACACCGGCTATGAAATTTCGCTGGGCATAATGCCAGAGCTGTGACCTAACTGGTCACAGACTGTACCATGATTACTGGATGAAGGTTCAAACCTACACCACTAACCAGGCACAGACAAAGTTAAATGTTTATTTCAGCTTAATACAATGTTTGTACAGAGATGGTTGACATGATACAATGTACAGTGATGGGTGACATGATACAATATTTGTACAGTGATGGGTTACATGATACAATGTACAGTGATGAGTGACATGATACAATGTACAGTGATGGGTGACATGATACAATATTTGTACAGTGATGGGTTACATGATACAATGTTTGTACAGTGATGGGTGACATGATACAATGTACAGTGATGGTTGACATGATACAATGTTTGTACAGTGATGGGTGACATAATACAATGTTTGTACAGTGATGGGTGACATGATACAGTGCTTGTACAATGATGGGTGACATGATACAATGTACAGTGATGGGTGACATGATACATTGTTTGTACAGTGATGGGTGACATGATACAATGTTTGTATAGTGATGGTGGACATGATACAGTGTGTGTACAGTGATGGGTGACATGATACATTGTGTTTACAGTGATGGTTGACATGATACAGTGCTTGTACAATGATGATTGATATGATACAGTGCTTGTACAGTTATGGTTGACATGATAGTGCTTTTACAATGATGGGTGACATGATACAGTGATTGTACAGTGATGGTGACATGATACAGTGCTTGTACAATGATGGGTGACATGATACAGTGCTTGTACTGTGATGGGTGACATGATACAGTGCTTGTACAATGATGGGTGACATGATACAGGGCTTGTACAGTGATGGTTGACATGTTACAGTGCTTGTACAGTGATGGGTGACATTTAGGTGTGCAAGCAGGAAGCCCATAGTCATGCAGAGCATTTTGGGTTCAACTTACAATATTTTGACTTCACAACGGTTCGACTTACGAGAGTTCGACTTTACGATGGCGTAGCAGCAATTACTTTGGAGATGAAACTTAAAATAATTACCCAACATGAAGGTAACTTATATTCATTCATTTACTTTTTAATGCTGGTACAGCCTCTCCTCACTTAACGATGGAGTTCCATTCATGAGATCACATCATTAAATGAATTCGTCGCTAAGTGAGGAGCATATTATAATGGTAGTGGGTTTGTGTCAACTAGCTTTGATAATTTTTTAATGTCATCTTTGCACCATTTATAACATTTCTGGTATATTTTTACATATACAGCAGCATACTGTATATTGTAATAAACAGAAGAGAGGAAATCAACTCTAATATACATTATTTAGGTATGAATACTGGTCAGACAGCCCATTGTAAGTCCGAGGCATTGGTAAAGGAGTACGTCACTAAGTGAGGAGAGGCTGTATTTAGTTAGTTACAGTAATTATTTGTTTATTTACTGATTCAATGACAGTAGTTATTAATTTGTTATTTATTTAGCATATCATATTTATATTCTATGATATTTTCAACTTACGATGGGTTCGTTAGAACATAATCCCATTATAAGTCAAGGAGCATCTTCCTGTGCCTTTAACAGTGATGTTTCTACTGTTGGTGTAATTCTAAACTTTTGATCATGTTGGTGCTTGAAAATAAAGAATGGGCGAGTGTTTTGGTTGTAAGAATTGTTTAGCATGATAAATAATAATAATAATAATAATCTTTATTTCTGCAAGTACATGTACAGTAATTCCTTGACTTACAAACATCTCGAGAATCGCGTGTATTGTCTATAATATTCATTATAGAGGAAGTCTTCAACTTAGAACACATTGGGGACTTTCTGTATTGTGTATAATAATGATATTATACACAATACAGCTAGCCCTCCACTTTCACGAGCTTCAAATATTCGCAAATGCCCATCCGCCCAATCATAACATGTATATACAATACAGTGGACCCCCGAGTTTCGTGATTAATCCGTTCCAGAGAGCCTGTCGAAAGTCGAAAATCACGAAACTCAAAACCATTTTCCCCATAAGAAATAATGGAAATAAAATTAATCCGTTCCAGACACCCAAAAATATTAAAATATTTTTTTTTTTAATTAAATAAAGATTTACATAGTGAAATCAATGACAAATCAAGTACATGTACATGCATATAAAAAATGATAATAACATTACACTTACTTTTACTGAAGACTTCTGGGTGGATGGAAGACGGGAGGAGGGGATAGGAGGAAGGTGTACACTATTGTTTGGAAGGAGAATCTCCTTCCATTAGGACTTAAGGTAGCAAGTCCTTATCTGGGGTTACTTCCCTTCTTCTTTTAATGCCACTGGGAACAACTTGAGAGTCACTGGACCCCTGTCGCACAAAATATCTGTCCAGAGAGGTCTTTTTTCTGGCGTTTCTTTAAGATTTCCCTGAAGTGGGACACAACACTGTCATTGTACATGTTGCAGATATGGCTTGTTTCAGCATGGTCAGGGTGATACTTTTCAACAAAACTTTGCAACTCATTCCACATTCTACACATGTTCTTAATCACTGAAGAAGGCACCTCATTCACTCCCTCTTCCTCCTCCTCTGAATCAAGTTCCTCGGCTGTGGTCTGATGCTGTTCCAGTTGAAGCTCTTGCAGTTCGTCAGTGGTTAACTCTTCCCTGTGGTCCTCCACTAGCTCTTGCCTGTGGTCCTCCACCAACTCTTCCACATCCCCGTCACTCACTTTATTTACCAAAGGGCTTGCACTAGCTTTCCTTGGGTTCATGATGACTTATTTAGCAGTTGCAAGCACAAAAAACAATGGATTATTATCAAATGTATTGTATGAACCCATGGGGTGATGGTCACGTGTTGGTAAACAATGGCACATTGAGCGTGAATGGCATGGGAGACTCGCTTTGTGTGCATGGTGACGGGTGGACGGGTACTGGACGGTCGCCGAAACATGAGTTTTTTCACGAAACTCGAGGCCAAATTTAAAAAAAAAAACTCGCCGAAGGTCGAATTTCACAAAAGTCGAGGGTCCACTGTATTTTATGAAGTTTTCATGTGTTTTATGATTGTTCGTGGTTCAGTAGGTTAAGGAAGCAATATTGTTAGGCTAAGTAAATGTTATTATTGTATTTTGCTGCATTACATTTGCGCATCAAAACATTAGCAAACACTACAGTATTATTATATTTCCCTACATGATATTTATGCACCAAGCATTTGCGAATTTTCAAGATTCGTGAGGTTCTTGATTCCCAACCCTTGTGAATATGGAGGGCCTCCTGTAATGATATGATACACAAGATTCTCAATGTGTTTGTAAGTCAAGGACTAATTGTACAAGGTATACAGACCATAGCTGACATCAGTGACATACTACTATGTATACAGAAAATCCCTTGTTATGCAGAGCATTTCCTGCAACTTGGGTTACTGTATTTTGCGGCTTATTAGACACATTTTTTTTTTCTATAAAATGTCTCCAGAAACCACCCTGCATCCTATAAACTGATGGTCAGTGACTGGAGCGGGTTATTTGTGTATCATTCCAGTCACGGTATTGTGCCTTTTTTTGTTATTTTGAGGTGTGGGGTGGGCTGTAGCTCTCCCAGTTATATCTGATGCTGAACCATTGAAATAAAACAAATCATAAGCTGTGAAATACAGTAATTTTGTCCCCAGGATGCGACCCACACCAGTTGGATTACTGGGTTAAGGCTCAAACCTCCATCACTAACTGGTTACAAACCATGCCATGTTTATTTCTCCTGGGTGACTTAGTTATTTTCTTTCTGTGAGCAGCGACCAACAAGATTTATTCTTGTGAGGCAAGCCGTCGTGACCACAACGTAACCCTAAACTTTGTATAACTACAACAATTCCTGTAGTATTATGAGGCGCAATCTAAGAGGAAACAGCACCAAGGCCAGAAAGAAAACGCCGAAAAATCAACTATTCAACAAGTGTAGTCAGGAGGACGCCGGCCCAGCAACCACCCCACTCACCACCACTCAAGGCGACACCACAACAATAACAACAAACATGGCTGCCACCAGCCCATCCTCCCCTCTCTTCCCCGGATTCAACCCACCAAGTAGTTCTCGGGTATGCCCCAATGATCCAAAAACCCTAAATCATGCATCTCCAACTTAGTTATTGAAAAATGAATCTTCGAGAGACGCTAACAAAACAAACGCCAGGTGACACAACCGAAAAACAAAACCCATCTTAACAAAAGTTATCAACACCGGGAAGACAAACGTGGCAAGCCATCCAAAAGTCATAGATACCCTACCCAAGAAAAAAATCTTTTTATACAAAGGTTGAAGAAGCAGTAAAAAAGGGAAAGAACAACTTAGATAACCAGTTCACGACTACTTTGCTTCCAAGAAGAAAAAACTAAACAAGAAAATACGGACCAGTAATAGTTAAAGTCCCTTTTTCCCCCATTATGAAAAAAACAAACAGAAAAGAAAATTACTCTGCAGATCAAAAAGGCCAAAAAATGTTATTGCCCAGATTTGAAAAAAAAGAACCCAGGTTCCCCTGATTCATGGAGAAAAATGTTATCTTAGATTCCACTCACATCGGGAAAAAAGATTAATTATTGCACATTAAAGTAAAGAAAGAGGTTACATAAACGAGTGTTTTAAAACCAAAAAACGTCAGAACCTCCGTTAGAGTCAGAAAACAAAAACGGGAAAAATAACGCACATACACCCAATGCTTCACCCCCCCGGGATGGGAAAATTCTTGTTGGGGAAAACAAAGTGGGTCAACAATCAGAATGAGAAGATTTCACTTTCCCCGGATATAATCTTACAGAGAATAACAAAACAATGCCCAACAAAAACCTACTAGTTAGGAAAACGTTTTGCTCCTTTATTGTTCAAATTTCATTGTGAAATCTCTCAGTATTTAAATAATCAACTCCCTCATTTTGTGTTTTTTCTATAAGCAAAGCCCTTATGTAATTTTCTTTTTTTACTTTGTTTGCTTTAAAAATTCGAATTGATACTTTTTCTGCCATATTACTACCTCATATTTTTTTAAAAACATCAAAAGATATTACCTCTAAAATTTAAAAATTTTCTTTTTTTTTAAATTTCAAATTAATCAACATTTTTCATTTAATAACCCTTACTTGCTAATTACCTTTACCGTTTTTAAAACCACATTTACATCTTAGGTACCTTTAAATTTCCTGTATTGCCTATAACCTCTAGTATAAACCAGTGCAATATTGAATGAATAAACCTTCTTTTCACTTTTTTTTTTAATCATTATACTTACTAAAAATTTTATTTTTAAAACCATTTTACACAGTCAATTTTTTCTTTTGTACATTAAACATTATTTTTCTTCCCATAACTTTTGTTGCCAAATTTTTAAGTTTGATATTCAACTCCAACCTTTATATTATCCTTTGTACCTGCTAAACCCTCTTACTAATATTTTAACCAGACATTTACCCTTATTCATTTTCTTCCTTCCCTTTAATTTTGTTTACCACTATTGTTTTTTCCCAGTTTTTTTTTGTGTGTGCAATTAGTGTATATTCCAATTACTTTTTTTCAATACCAAAACTATCTTTTGTACTAGTACCAATACCTCTTTTTTTTTTTTTTTTATTGTCAAAAAAGATCAAATTTTTAATTTAAAAATCGATTTACCCGAAACCAAAATTTTTCAAGTGACTATCTGTCCATTTAACTTGTTTACCTTACTAATTTTAGTCCCCAAATTTTTGTCCTTTTTTTTAGCTTTTTTAAAAATACCTTAGATCAATATTCACAAGTTTTAAACTAATCAGGGGCTATTCTCAGGTTTCTAAAATTAATAAGTTCACTATTTTGCCCTTAACCCAAAGTCATTTATTTGATTACCACTTTATTTTTCACCCAAAAATTTATTATCCCTTTTATATTATGATCTTATTTATAATTCTAACTTTAAAGAATTTCCTTTAAAAATACTCCCTCATTATATTCCAAGTCCCTTATTTTTACTCATTTATTTTTTCACCACAATTTTTTTGTCCCCTTTTTTATTGTTCCCTTTTTTTTTTGCTTTTAAAAATACCTTAGTCATTATTTTTACATTTTTTAAATAATTCAGGTGCTATTTTTTTTTTAGCTTCAGAAATTTACATTTTTTATTAAATTCTAACTATAGATTCATACAAAATTTTTTGATTTCAAGCATTTTTCCTGTACAACCTCTTATTTAAGACTTAAATGATTTAAACATTACTGTAATTACTACACACAAACAATCAAAGGCACTTTTAAGCCAAAAAACAACATAAACTATTTTAAAATACAATATCAATCTTTAAGCAAGCATTATGATACCTCCAGCTTGACCCGCTGGGGAAGCATGGAGCTAAGTTTTTTCCTCACGGTGGGGTGGATGATCCATGAAGGGATGAGGGTTCCCGTTAAATAGCACCCACCCCGATCAGGTGGCAAGTCATCCTGTATTGAACAGGGTAAGGATAGTGAGCCAGGTGCACAAGATTGGTACAGTGGACCCCCGCATAGCGACTTTAATCCGTGCAAGAGGGCTCATTGTTATGCGAAATGATCGGTATGCGAATGAATTTTCCCCATAAGAAATAATGGAAATCAAATTAATCTGTGCAAGACACCCAAAAGTATGAAAAAAAAAATTTACCACATGAAATATACATTTTCCTACACACAAAGAGAAGGATACATGCACAATAGTAGAGTAGTACATGCACAATATATATTGTGCATGTACTACTCTACTAAATGAAGAATAAATGACACTTACCTTTATTGAAGATGCAGCAATGACTGATGAGACACTGTGTCCTGGGAGTGCCTTTTCCTCCTTAGTACAGTAGGTCCTGTTTGGCATTTTCTTCCAGAACAGGCCTTATCACACTGTGTATGCCACTACGATTCTTAAATCTCTCAAACTAACCTTTGCTGGCTTTAAATTCACCAATATGAGCACTAGTTCCAGGCATTTTTCCCTGTTCACCTGGGTGTTAGTCGACTGGTGTGGGTTGCATCCTGGGAGACAAGATTAAGGACCCCAATGGAAATAAGTTAGACAGTCTTCGATGACACTGACTTTTTTGGGTTATCCTGGGTGGCAAATCCTCTGGGGTTAATTGTTTCTTGGTATTCTCAATAAGCCACACCAACAACGGTGCTACAGCAGCAGCAGCTGAAAGCAGCAGCGCAGCAGCTGACAGTGCAGCAGCAGCAGCAGCTGTACCACCAATAGTAGCGATGGTTGATTGGGGTTTATTATACAACCTGGCCAGCTCGGAGACATGCACTCCACTTTCATACTTATCAATGATCTTTTTCTTCATCTCTATTGTAATTCTCACCCTTATTGCTGTAGGGTTGGCACTAGAAGCTTTCTTGGGGCCCATGGTCACTTATTTTCCAGAAAAAGCACCGAAAACACTGTAATAATACGAAATATTCCGATTGTATGCTTGGATGTTACCGAGGAGGCTGGCTGGTAAACAATGCCACCGGCGGAACATGTGAGCGTGGCTCAGGCCGCGTCTCGGATGAAAATCGGTAAGCGGGTTTTTAAGCGGTATGTGAGGCAAAATTTTTGCGATTAAAGTAAGCGGTATGCGAAATAATCGCTATGTGATGCCATCGTTATGCGGGGGTCCACTGTACTAGTGAACCGTGGGAAAGAGTTGTGCTTGATTTGTTAACCAATTTTAAATGTTCCCTCCAAGGTAACAAATATCTGTGTGTTATGGTAGACCATTTCACCAGATATTGTGAGTTAGTTCCTATTGCAGATAAGACTGCCGAGACAGTAGCTAAAGCGTTTAAAGAACGCATAATCTGCAGGCATACCACCCCTAAGTCCCTAGTAACAGATAATGGAGGTGAATTCTGCAACGAGATTCTTGAAAATTTGTGTACCTTGTACAAGATCTCTAAGTCAACCATTGTTTCCCATCATCCTGCCAGCAATGGGTTAGCAGAACAAACCAATAAGAAAGTACTTGATGTTTTGAGAGCCACTAGTGAAACTTGGGATGAAGTCATACCAGATGTTCAATGTGCCATAAATTCTGCTTACAATGCTTCCATAGGTGACACTCCACATTATGCATTGTACGGTGTAGACAAGCATTTGCCTTGAGTTGTTATATTCCACTCTGAAACCCAATTATAACCCTGATGATTTCATAGCAACTCGTACCAGCATAGCTCAAAGTGTTTTTAGAAGAATCCGTGAGACACTTCATAAATCAACAGCAGAATTTACTAGAGTAACTAATAGCCATGCTAAGCCGACCAAAGTTAAAGTGGGTTCGAGGGTTATGCTGACTAATTTCAATAAAACATCCTCAGTGCCTAAGCTCGATCAAAAGTTTGTTGGCCCTTATCGAGTAGTTGAACATATCAATGGCAATAAGTATAAGGTTAGAGAAATTAGTGCTGGTCAGTATAAGGAATTGCATTTAGATCATATGAAATTAGTATGCGATGTCGAGGATGATAATTCTACCCAGACTAATGTGTCAATCGCTGACAATCCTCTTGACTCTGTACCCTCTACCTCTAATACTCAGCCAGATAATCAACCCGAATGTCGTTATTCTTTGCGTACTCGACAAGTAATGAGAAACCCACAAGTATCTTTTGTAGATACTTGTTCAGATCTCCCTAAGTCAAGGCATGTGTTAGCCATTGCAAAGGAATTCGATCCTCCCAAAGACGATAACCATTCTGCATAAGTAAATCTTACCCTTGCAGAGTTGAGTTTAAATGTACATAGCCTGTATAATTAGATGTCCAAGATGAATGAAGTTGTCAACTGTGTGTTTTGTTATTAGCTGATCAGTTTTCAGAAATTTTTTTTTGTGTTCACGTTCCCTCCTAATTCTGAGATTAGCAGTACTGATCTGTGAGCGCCAGATTTGCCTTTGCTGTTAATTACTTTCACCTTTGTAAATATATATTTATTCTTCCTCAGTATCTGTAGAGTGCATGAATACAGATCGATCGATCAATTCCATCCTTTATTATACCATGATTTGTTCTTATGATTCATAATGCATTACGT